TTTAAGGCAAATGAGTGAATTTTTACTTTTTTGACTTGTTTGGTTTTTTTTTTGCTATAGAAAATCTTTCTGCTACCGTCGCCTGCAGTACCTGAGCTCCAAATTTCAGATGCACATCCTGCTTAATGAAATGAAAGAACTGGCGGCACAGAAAAAAGTCCCACACCGAGATTTTTACAACATCCGTAAGGTGAAGAGTTAATCAGAACCCACAAGCCTGGCACCTGGGCTCTGATTGCATCACACCCCACAGATGTCAAGCTGTCTGAGCTGCCATTAAAACTAACACTTGACTCCAACATGTTATTAATGTAATTTTGTTTTAGGTTGACACACACATTCACGCCTCTTCCTGCATGAACCAGAAGCACCTACTGCGATTTATCAAAAGAGCCATGAAGAAGTATCCCACGGAGATAGTTCATGTGGAGAGAGGGAGAGGTCAGACGCTCATGGAGGTGTTTGAGAGCATGAACCTCACAGCCTTTGACCTCAGTGTAGACACTCTGGACATGCATGCAGTAAGTGAGCCCATCATCTTCAGAACCAGGGTCTGGAACAACATGTATCAACATATTATTATCATCATGTGTTTTGCAGATGACAAGGATTATTTATCAGCATGACCTGACTTTTCTTTTACAGGACAGAAACACTTTCCATCGCTTTGATAAGTTCAATTCCAAATACAATCCCATCGGTGAGTCCATCCTGAGAGAGATCTTCATCAAAACTGACAACCACATCCAGGGGAAATACTTTGGCCACATCATCAAGGTGCCTACTGATACTGAGTACAGGACATTTGACAGCACTAGTGTCCCCTGCTGACTGTTCTGTGTCACTGCTTCCCAGGAGGTGATGGCCGACCTGGAGGAGAGTAAGTACCAGAACGTAGAGCTGAGACTCTCCATCTACGGACGCTCCAGAGAAGAGTGGGACAAACTGGCACAGTGGGCCGTCAAACATCAGGTCTACTCCAACAATGTGCGCTGGCTCATTCAAGTGCCACGACTCTTGTGAGTAACGTGACAAGTGAATTGAACCAGTTCAAAAATAATTTAGATTAGCTTTCATTCAAGATTATTAGATATTCAGTTATTGGTTGGGTGAAAGGTTTTATTTTTCTTAAATTAAATGAGAAATATGTGGATTTTTGGGGTGTTATAAAAAAACTTAAAAATCTTAAAAAAACAATGGCGGAAAAGGATTTTTAAATTCAACTGAGTCTGAAATATTGAATTATTGCTGTTGTTGTTATTATTATTATTATTGCTGTTGTCACATCAAACTTTTGAAACACACAATTCTATTCTTCTCTTGAACGACACTTGGTTTAGCAAAAATAATTTAAGGTTAAGAAAATTGCACCTTTTATACCAAAGACTGAACATATTTACCATTTCTTGAGGACAGTTCCACTGATGTTAATTTGGTGGAAAGAAATAGTTCTAAAACGTTTTCCCCACTGATTTGCTAACGTGTGTGTGGTGTTGTAACAGTGACGTCTACCACACAAAGAAACAACTGAACAACTTCCAGGAGATGCTTGAAAACATCTTCATGCCTCTGTTTGAGGCGACCATCAACCCTGGCAGTCATCCTCAGCTGCACCTCTTCCTCCAACACGTACGAAGACTGCCTTCCCACCAATAATCTCTACGATTATTTCATCCTCTCTGGGATTCATGGATCTGCTCTTCGTCTCTCACGCAGGTTGTGGGTTTTGACAGTGTGGACGATGAGTCCAAACCTGAGCAGCACATCTTCAACCTGGACAGTCCACTGCCGGCCAACTGGACAGAGGAGGACAACCCACCCTATTCCTACTACCTCTACTACATGTATGCAAACATGACTGTGCTCAATCACCTGCGGAGGTATGTAACCACACCTGGTCTCAATATGCTTCAGCAAAGTTGTGGAAAGAAATGACCCTGATCTATCAAACCTAAAGAGAAAAGAAGAATTCAACTGACTGACCTTCCACTTTTCTTTTCAGGCAGCGGGGACTTAACGTGTTTGTCCTGCGTCCTCACTGTGGAGAAGCTGGGCCCATCCATCACCTGGTGTCTGGGTTCATGCTGTCAGAGAGCATCTCCCACGGGCTGCTGCTCAGGAAGGTGAGAAAACAATATTTCAACATCTTAATTTTCCTTGGAGGAGAGAGCGTCCTCTCAGAAAAAGTTTGATGGTATTTACCTTTGCTCCTTGTGTACCGCCAGGCTCCTGTACTGCAGTATCTGTACTACTTGGCTCAGCTAGGCATCGCCATGTCTCCTCTCAGCAACAATAGTCTCTTCCTCAGTTACCATCGCAATCCTCTCCCAGAGTATCTGTCCAGAGGTTTGATGGTGTCTCTGTCCACAGACGACCCTCTGCAGTTTCACTTCACCAAGGTCAGAGGAGAGCGCTGTGACAAAAAAGTTTAAGATTAGATTTCAGTTTGCCATGATAGGTCGATTAATCGGTGCCGTTTCCAGCAAACCTCGCTAAGGTTTGTGCATGTTGCTGCCCCCGTCGTGTTGGTGCTTGAACTGCAGTTGCATCTTTAAATCCTCTAATAAACCTTAAAACTGGAATAACAATGAAGAACATTTAGTTTTTTTTAACATCTTTTCTATACTTGATGGTTCTTTGTGTTCTGAAAAAATAGTATTTTCCATCATTCCAAAGATTTAAAGCATCAAAATGTTTTTTTGGTCTCCTCCTCATTCTTCTCATCTGTGAAGGAGCCGTTAATGGAGGAGTACAGCATTGCTGCTCAGGTCTGGAAGCTGAGCTCCTGTGACATGTGTGAACTGGCCAGAAACAGTGTTCTGATGAGTGGATTTTCTCATAAGGTATCATTGTTACATACTTGGTGACATCTCTGCTCAGACCTTTAACAGCCTTCACCTCCTCCAGTCTTTAATCCCACTGTGACGCCTCCTCCCTCTGTTCTTATTCTGGACCAGGTGAAGAGCTGCTGGCTCGGTCCAAACTACACCATGGAAGGACAGGAGGGGAACGACATCAGGCGCACTAACGTCCCTGACATTCGCGTAGCATACCGCTGTGAGACCATGTGTGAGGAGTTGAATTTGATCACACAGGCCATCCGCACCGACGAGCTGGAGACCATCGAGGAGGAGGGCAGTCTGTGTATGGGAGCGGTGCAGGGCACAGAGAAGTGAAGGGGAAGCACAGCACAAAGAAAAATCTCACCACATTCCATGTTTCTCCACATCAGAACCTTGCACATAAACTCATCACTGCTGTGAAAGGTGAGAAGCTCTGTCCACACACTGTAAGATGCTACTGGATCAAAAGGTGAGAGGACCAGCGATCTCTGTATGCCCAAATTGTCGGCCATCTTTCTGTTGTTTCATCTTTTATTTTTAGTCTGGCAATAGTTACATCAGAGGAACTTCATTTTTCAAAAAAAAAAACAAAAAAACACTATAAGAAAGACTAATAAATAATTTAGGCAAGTGAGGAAAACATTTTCATCTTACAGTTTCTGATCAGATTTACTAACTAAAGAAAATATTTATTTTTCATATTTAGGACTTTATTGTCTAAATGGCTATGGGGAGGCATTAGTAGAAAATGTGGGCCTCAAGGATGGACAGGTCAGAAGGTCGTCGTAGGGACACATATGGACAAAGCAGCGTTCACACTCATATCATACAAATCTCGTACAAACCTCTAACCTTTGTGCTGTGGCACCACAGAGTGAGTAAACCCATCTCATAGCAGCAGCCTGGTGTCAACATGTCTGACCCACAGGACCAGTACCTCATACTGTGCTTCACATGGTTATTCCTCCTGCTTCAGGCAGCGGCGTTAACAGCTTCCACGGCTCTGCTCCCTCTAATACCCCAGCTGTTCTGTGAAACAGTGATGGAGCAGAGTTTTGCATGAAGGTGTGTCAGTGTTTGTCTGTGGTTGTACTGTGAGGCTGCAGACATCTAGTTGTACTTCTGTGATATTGTTACTACTGTAGACAGAACCGTGCTCGTTACCTCACACCATCTGCCCTTATGGATGCATGTTTAAATCCAAAGCCGAGTGATGGATCGACGATGGGCCGCTCCTCCAGGTTCTCCAGTCCCGTCACGAGCTCATCCTGTGCCAAAAGCCATAGAAGCAGAAATGTCTACAGAACAACTGACAAACACAGAATACTGAAGTGTCTACTTCTACAGCACTTTATCTACTTGTTTGGTCTCGGAGACGTCGGCCCGGTTATACAGTATTTTTGCACTTGGTCCAGTGCAGTGGGCGTTTGTGTTGGTGAGTCACTGTTGTTCTGCAAATACAACATCAGACAGTGTTAGTGACGGTGGAGTTACAGTGACACAAAACACACGTCAACCTGCAGACCAACGACATTCTGGTCTACTTTATCTGGTCCACCTGTGGGGCAGTGATCAATGCAGCTCACATACAGCAGTGTGTGACCCACATCTGGTCTTATACCCTGATATTGAGCATCATCTCAGCCAAATTTGACAAAGGTTTTTTTGGTCTAGCCCAGTCCACACATTCACATTAGGAGTTGTTACAGTTTATGTTTGTATCCCACTTCTGGTGTCCAGAATGTGGCCCACAAACTCACACCAAAGCTGAAGAATCATTTGACTTTGCTGCTCTTCAGCAAGCTGGTTCACAAATCAAATTATTGAGATCAATCCGTACCTGCCCCGTTACCTAATATAGGTCAAACAAAAATCAGAAACGTTAGATCAGAACCACCAGGTTGTGAGAACGTGGACCAACAAGTGTTGTTGTGTTTGTCCTTACATCACATTGTGTTGTTATGTCAACACAGAGGTACTGTAGGACATTTGACCACGAAGAACGTGATGGACATATTCCGGACAACAAATATTGAATTGCAGTGAACTAATTTAATGTCCCAATTAAAACAAATGGTACAGAATTACAGAAAAAAAAAACATCAGTTTTTCCTGTATTCCCAGTTTGCTCCGTCTTTCTTTGGTGTTCTTGTTTCCAACCCCACACAACAGGACCACACTGTATGAGCTGTCTGTGAAGTAATTATACTTTTGTGTGTGTGAAGGAAAATAAATGTTGTTTCTGTAGAAGCCCCTGCCTCCCTTCAGTTTGAACATCTGAGACCGAATATAAATGTTAACCAAAAATGACAATAAAGTGATCGTCTCTGTCTGTTTGTTCCTCATTACTGACTAAACAACTGACGTGACGACAACACAATGGTTTTCATTGTGTTGTCTCTATGACTGTAAGTGGTCAATTTTAAAGCATTGATTTCTTTGTTGAACTGATCACATTCTCATTAAAAAAAAAACAGAAAACATATTTGATAATATAGTACTACTGACAATATGAGCAATTAATATTGTTAAATACTGCAGCTTCACCAAAGTTCTACTAGCCAACATCAAGGCGAACAGTACTGACTAAAATCTACCAACTCTACAAAGTTATACTTTTGTATATTTGAAATTGTTTCACATTAGTTTCTTCATCATTTGGCTGAATTACAAAAGAGTAACATTTAGATTAATAGCAGATGATTTGAGAGATGCTGATTTTAATATATATGTATATACACATGCATTAATTCACAGCTGTTCTGTAGTTAGATTAGAAAGTACACTAAAGAAACTATATGTATACTTAAATATATAGACAAAAGTTATATATAGTAATACAGGGGACCCCCTAGATACGAGCTTCCAGAAATACCGGTATTTCATTGAGCTGCAGCTATTGCTCCAGATACAAGAAAATATCTAGTTAGGAGTGCTCAACCCAGCTCCATTTTGACAACTGAATTTGAATAAGTGGCCCCGACACTTTTTATAATAAAAATAAAAATGTTTTCTGAATTATTATCATTTTATATTGTCAATATATTTGTTTCTATCTGTTTAGTTGGGGGGGGGGGGTAATAGTATATTTCTGGGGGTTGAACCAATTCATTGGTTTTTAATTAAACTGGTATCTAGGGAGTCCAGTGTAAATGACATTTCTGGTTTAGTCATTGTTATGGTCCAGTGTTACAGCAGAGACATCATGTTTCAAATCACCATTCTTTAGATTTGTTTTAAAATAAAACAGCGCTGACAGTAGTGACCCAGAGGATGTTGAGGATGTGGACCACAGTATTGATCATCATATTAAAACTCATCATTAAGACACCGAAGCAGCAGTTACAGTTTGTTGTGGTTGTTAGTAGTAGCGGTTGTTGTATGGACCTGACGGTTCACTGGCCAGCTGTGGGAGACAGGGGGGAATATTAGTGTGTGTGGAAATGTGTGCGGTTGTGTTGGTGCGGAGTGACAGGTACTCACTGCAATGCTGGACTTCACGGCCTGCAGCTGGAAGAAGACCTTGGCTCCTTCCTCCGGACACACGGTCCTTATCTCATCTTTGGTCATGCCCAGCAGCAGTTTACCGTTCAGCACTCCGAGGCAGGACACGGTGCTGTTCCCGTCAGAGCAAATAAGACGTTCAAATATTATCACACACTTTGATCTAGTTTGATTCTATAGTGCAGATATTAGTGGATAAATTCACTGACATTTTGGAGAAACCCTTGTACTGCAGCCATGCTTTCACCTCTGCAGGTGTGGAGGACATGTCCAGAGTCACCGGGCCACGAGCATCCTGTCAAGTGTGTGATCATAATTTCATGAGTTCTTTTAAAAAAAATATATATATAGTGTGATCATAATTTCATGAGTTCTTTTTAAAAAAAAAAATCTCTTCATCATAATACCTCTGAAAACACCTTTTAACTTAGCTCACCATTCTGTCGTCAGGTTGCCAGTTGTTGTGAGCCGGCTCCAGAACATTCTGAGGAACACTCCCTTCTTCACCGCGGCCATTTCGAACTAGCCACCATTGCTTGGATTTCTGTATCACCTGCACAAGAAATCCAAAGAAGACATAGGATCTTAATGATTAAAACATTTACTAAAACACGAGTCAAAGAACTCTCCTGATTATTGAAATATAACAACATGCAGTGAATATGAAAAGGAAATACATAAATCAAGGTTATTACTATTTTTTTATTAAGGCTAGTGTTACATTTCAAAATGACCCAGCAAACAGTTTTATTGTATTGTTCAAAAATTATTTTAATATTGAGAAAAATAGGATAAAAAATGTAATATAAATATAAATCAAAACAGAGTAAAAGTTGATACAGTGAGTGACTGTGGTCTGCATCCAGCTCCCATTGGTCGATGCAGCCGTCAGTCTGTTGCAATGTAGGTATATTCATTTTATTATTTATATGTAAAAACACAATTGGATGCTTCACTCGGGCCACAACTATTCCAAAATGTAACAAAATATTCTGAAATACTTCATTCCATGTTAGAAACATTTTACTGATTCCTAATTTATTTATACACTACTCATACACTGGTTTATTCTCTCTGTAAAAAAGACTCCAAACTTAACTAAGCATCACATTTTACTGCAGCAAATCATGTTTCTCAGAAAAAATTTTAATCCCAAAACATCAATTTCCCAGTTCACCTGAACCACGTCGTCCTTCATAAGGCTGAGCTCCTTGTTGTTCCTGGCCACAAAGTTGTACATGACCCTCATTAGCTGGGGGGGCTCATTGGAGCTGAAACAGCAGCAGAAACATGCTCTGACAGCAGCACTGATCAAAAGTACTGAAGTACTTGTGGTATGTATTGTAAGAACACATTACTACTAAAGAGTAAGGAGACTCACGGTGCAGGTTTGGAGTTCCAGTCACCGAATACAGACTGTAAAAGGTATAAAATATTCTGATCAAACTGTATGAATGTGACCTTTGACCTGGTATAACAGACATTATTTCTGCACTCATACATTGTTATGAATGTGACCTTTGACCTGGTATAAGAGACATTATTTCTGCACTCATCGTGTACATTACTTTTTACCAATGTGTCATGGGAGTTATTGTTATAATTAGTATTTAAGGTGAAATATGCTATTTTGCATGTAGATAGCACCATCTGCAGGCAAGGAATGGTAAGATTTAAAATCCACTCGCATGACTCTGGTGTTCCACAGGACACAGTGGGTAAATACTAATACTCTACTCCATTATTACAGATTACATCAGAGCTACTACATAGATGATAGTCATCTCAGTCTGACTTTACACTTTTATTAACAACTGCCAGCAGCTCTGTTCATTTAGCTCTGGTAACTATTTTAAACTAGGGGTTGATCTGTCACCTAGCAACAGAGGCAAAAAAACGGACACAGGGTAGAATCCTTACTGATAGAAACAACTGTACTTACAGTAATTAAATGTGTGATTGGGGGAATCTGGGATACTACATATTTGAAGTAATCGTTCTATTTTGATGGACATGTAGTAGTGATATTATCCTGTCACTATTACCTCTGATCCTGTTGAAGGTGAAATTATCTTTTACCTTTTTTGAATTTCTAATTTTAGACGTGTGGCTCCGTCTGATCACTGACACTCACTTCTCTGGTGGGTTCGTTGACTGGGAAACGCTGGCTGCTGCTCCTGCTCAGCTGGGGGGAGTCTAAGGGGGAGGGTGGTTGCCAACCATCGTAGAACACTGGAGAGTAAGGCAGGACTTGACCGTAAGGCCAACGAGAACTGAAAAGACAGAAAAGACTCAGATAAATACAAATATCAGACAGTGAACTGATTTATAAATATTCATAAAAATAAATCTAGTTCAAGCTAAACAGACGATTATACTTAGAAATGCAATTATTACATAATTAACAAAAGTTAATTATTAGTGGCTTTTTTTCACTTATTTCTAAACCACAAACTATTACACAATTTGTTACTCATTAATTTAAGGACACACCCATGACAATACTGAAGTATCACACTGGGTATCGTCATAAAAACAAAAGCAACACTCACAGTATGTTGATTCAGGAAAAAATAACTTCTTGTCAGAAACATGAGAGGAACCAAAAAACAACAATAACACTAGGTAAAAAAAAAAGAATTCTTTTGGTAGAAGAAAGACATTGATTTACCCTATAATCTCAATCATCTCTTTCACTAAAGAAAATGTGTTGTTTTTTACTTGGGGAAAATTTAATAAATTTAACAAAAAACTGAAGCAGTGACAACTACATCTGAAGACAGAAGAGTGGAATAGCTCACATACAACACATTACTGAACTGTGAAATTACTATCACATCCACCACCAACAGTAATGACAGGGCACAAACAGCTGTGGAATCTTAGGGGGAAAAAACCCTTTCAGAAAGACTGGACTCAGGAGTGATGGAAAACAGTGATTTAGTCGCATTTACAAGAGTTGGAGAGATATGAGAGACTCAAGAGAATCAAGGGCAGAGGTCGAGCCGACAGAGTGAAACGACCTGTGGTCACATGACTTAAACTGTGACAAAGTGACTCTGCATTTTACACATGTTCACAACCATGTTATTCAACAATTGCCCACTGTTCAGACTCAGTAAGGGACTACCGTCAAAATGTTGCATTTTCAGACAGAAACAAATAATGACATAACTCCACAAATGTATGGAAAATAAATTCCACAAAAATATCACATTCACTGGCTTCTAGCTGTAAAAAAAATAAAATAAAATACATTTTAAAAAGTGTGTGCTAAGTGTGTGTGACGGCCATGCTACCTGGGGGTCATCCAGGATTCTCCCAGGGCCGCCCAAAGCTTTTTCTCCTCTGGAGTTAAGACTTCTTCCAGCAGTTGGTGGGCAGCGTCTGTCAGCAGAGGGGAGACCACAGAAGGAGGCAGCTGTGGAGGATAGTGAGGCAGCATCTGTGGAGCAGGAGAAGGTGAGGTGAGGAAGAAATCAAATGCACTGTCAACATATTACAATAACATGTTAGGTGTTTACCATGCCAAGACAAGTGAAGATGATGTGGAGAAAGTCAGGGACCGTGGGCTGTTTCAGTGCACCTTTCAGCTGAACCTGGAACATAAGGATCCAGAGGTGTTCTTCAGTCAACTCCTATGGTTGCTATCAAACATCCTAATACCTTCTAACCGCCTGACTGGATGTCTGAACAGAGACGAGGAGCTCACCAGCAGGTTGATCCCATATTTGACCTTCTGAAGACAGGCGATGTACTCCTGTGGTGGTGGCAGAGCGTGAGCTGGTGCTGCTGGAGAGATCACATGATGATAACTACTTTAACAGCTGTACATGTTACACAGTCCCCGTGTTTACAATAACATTAACACAGCCATAAAAAAAATGAACTAAAATATTCACCATTCTTCATCTTCTTGCTCTTGCCAACTTGTGAAGATGATTTTAGCGAAACAGAAACTTGGCCCAAGAAAGTCTCCAGATCGGCTATAACACGGTTGAAAAGGTCCTGCGGGTGAGAAGGTTATATAATAAAAACAGACCAAACCACGTAGGGTAAACAAGAATGATGGCATGTGTGTGATGTTGATGATGCTAACATATCATATCATCCGCCTCTTACAGCCTGTAGAAACTGAATGTGAGCAGAACTTACCGTCTTCTTTACTGCTACTTTTATGGCAGGAGGAAGAATCTGAAAATCCCTGTGATCAGAATTGTGCAGGACTTCTCCCATGGCATTGTGGTCTGGTGGAAAACCTCCCGGAGAATGTTGTCCAATGAGATTTTCAAGATTATTTCTGAAATGACCAACACTTAGCTGTACTCCATGTGGCTTCTCATAGTGAATACCCATCACCAAAAGGCTTCTTATACAAGTACCTGATATCAGACTGCCCCCAGTGAGGGTCAACATTACCATCCGTTCTCTGGGCAACTTTGTCCAGTTCAGTCTTGAGCTGATCAGCCTGGTAGAGAGAGAGAAGAAGGTGAACAGAGAACCACTGTGAGGAAAATGTGTCCATGAGTCAAATGTAGCACAGCCGAATGATTCACACTCCGCTAGTATTTGTTTATATTGTTTGACTGAGCAGATCGGCATTCAACATGGAAGCGTTCTCGATCACACACTCCCCCCTAGTGGTTCGTCTCTGCCTCTGTAGAGATTTAATACTTCATTCCATGTCCATGTTCCCTTGAGGCTACAATGACATATTCTAAATAGATGTATGAATTTATGAACACATCAAAAACCAAAAATATACATCTCTCACCTTGACCTCCTCACACTGGAACATGAAGACCTGTGGGGAGCGTTTCCTGCGGTCCTGCACTATTATTATCAGCAGAGAGTTGTAGGCACAGCTGTCCAGCACAGCATTGGTCTGTGTGATGCTGCTCAGAGGTAATGTCTCCAGCTCAGTCTTTAAAGTGAGATTAAAATGAAAAGATTACCGAAAACACATCATAAGAGAAACACGGTTAACGATCGACATCGTGTTTCTTAACTTAGCTACGCTGACCTTCTGGACGTTTCTTACTAAAAACATACTAACACTGGCATTGACCTTCTGGACGTTTCTTACTAAAAACGTACTAACACTGGCATTCGTTGAATCTCAACGGCAATTGTAACCATTTTTCTCGATAAGTCAAAAAGTATCTGGTAATGAGGTAAACCTCGCTCATCTAATGCAAAACATCACTTATTAAACCACACTATCTATAGTCATCCTATTAATAGGAGTCTGCCTTTATAATAGAACGGGGCTTCAAGATACAAGCTACCCGAAATAAGAGTTTTCCAAGTTATGAGCAAGCAACTTTTGCAAGATTTTCTTCAAGATGCAAGGAAACGTCGAGTTACGAGTGTTCAACCGAGCTCCATTTTTCCGCTCAACCTGTCGCGCTGTGTCGCTCACTGCTTGGTTGTTTTACCCGTGGCTTTACTGTATTTCTCTTTCAAACTTTTTTTTTCTTAAAAATTCCATTTTTATACATTAGAGCGGAATATTGATGTGCTACCTTCTACCACCTAATGAGTGCATTTAAAAAAACGAAGCTGTCTTCATTGTCTCTACCTTGGACTCGATGTCACTCAGCAGCAGGTGTCCTCCCATGGCCTCCATGATCATCTCCTGTGGCCACAGACGACCTTTGGCTTCCAGCCTCTTCAGCTTGGCCACACAGTCTTCAATTCTCTTCAGCTCCAGGCCGTCCAGCTCACAGGTGAACAGGTGCTGCAGGACAGGCGTTTATGGTCATTAATGAGCTGTAGTCACTGGTTTGTCTTATTTTGAAGACTGACTCCTGACTTACCTCCACTCTGACATGTAAGCTCTCAGCCTGTCTGTTCAGGTTCTCAGAGTAGTCTTTTCTCTGCACTGTAACAAAAACACATTTTCATTTTGACAACCTGCCAAATGTTATATTGGTGATTTTACATTTTCTTCTGAAATAGTTTTTTTTTTTGTCATACTGTATATGTATCTCCCACTGGGCCTTGACAGGCCATCTCTCTGCAGAGAAGACCTGTGTTCATCGTGCTGTAAAGGCCGTCTCTGTTGAGGGAAGTCCTCCTGTGTAGACGCCCTTAAAAAATACAAGAGGAAAATAAACATATAAACAACATAGAAAATAGATTCTTGAAGTGTGACTGCGAAAAATACAGACCATTTTAGCAAAAAAGAAAAAGATGTAACCAAATGAAAAGACTCTTAATAGGTTTTTAACCACAACGATGTAAATACATTTTGTTTTTCCAATTGTGTAGCCAAATGATTCTTTCACAGAATAAATCTGTGTATAAATCATCCTCTGTCTAAACATGATAGAACAGTTACCACACACCCGGTGTTTTTTATCAGTGGGTGTGAACGGGTTGTAAATATCTATATAAAGCACTCATATTGCATAATATTCAAAATGACAGGAGGTGAACTGAATCTCAGTGTGTTTTTACTGACCTGGGGGAGTAGGTGAAGCGGCTGGTGTTTCCATACATTTTTAAACCGGCGCGTTCGTCTTTCTCCAGGCAGTAAAAACTCCAAATTGTTCACGGCCAGCTGGAACAGAGAGCCTTTTACGACCTGACGGTTTGGCAGAAAGGTGACAGGTGGTTTCATATTAAACCAAGTCATAAAAGTGAATGGTGAAAGCTGTGCCTCGTGTTAAACAGTGTATCGTAGATTATATTAATTTGTAAGTGTAAGACATTTGTCACGTGGAAAAAAGGAATTTTGATAAAATGTTGAAAAGACAAACTATTAAATGCTAATGTGAGACAAAGAGGGTGATTTCTCTGCTGTAGTTGTAGAAATCAGTCAGTGTTGTTCATCAACAGTCATTTCCCTGACATGAGTGTCACACCTCGCCCAACCTATCTGCAGTTACACCTGTTATTTTCCAGAGCTGTTTCATTTACCAAAGGTAACTTTAATTCAGCAAAATCTATGATTTATTCACTTCTAAAATATAAAAATAAAGTCTTAATTAAAATTAAGAGTTTAAAATGCATTTTTTAGTCTCTGGTTTACTTTACATCATGAGCTCAGAAAACTGGCTTCGCTTTTTTTTTTAACACTTACACAACTGATTCCTAAAGTACCAAAACATTTAAATTGTTATTCACACTTTGTATACAACAGAAAAACAGTAAGTATAAAAATGTTGTCAAAACTCACCTACCTCAAAATGGACTAGGATAACCTCGAATCTCCTCAAAGACAAAAGCACCAAATCTACCGTTCAGCGTCAGCTCTGCTCCGGCGTCATAGTCTTTTCCTTTACACCAGTATTTTACCAACTCTTCTGCTTTCACAAAACCACCGACTTCCTGCTCGAAGGCAAATGGTTCAAAGAGCAACAGCTCGTTATGCTGCACAGGTGTATGATCAAGAGGGTTGGCCTGATTCGTCATCTGAAGGTGGGCATTTCAGCTTAGTGGTTAAGGGACAGAGCAGGTCGGTGGCTTATTATGAGTCCAAAGGTTGAAAGAAAATGCTTCATAACACGTCTTTAACCGAGATCAAAGGTCTTTGGCACTTGAGCCTGGATATCTGGTGGAAATCTAGCCTGGATATGAAATGCTCAGGATTTGGTCTATTTGTTCAATAGACCAAGAACAATTGAGCATTTATATCAGAAAAGTTAAACAGAGATTAGAAAGACTGAAAAAATAAAAATCAAACTGGTCAGTCAAAATTAATAGGATCATTTATTTTACTATCAGCTGACGTGTAAATACTGTACACACCCATACTATTGACATAGACCATGGTGAAAAGAAATTGTTTATTCTTTGAAGAAAAGTCAACGCCTTCTTCATGAGACGGTAAGTCATGGGTCAGAGCAGGTTGGACAATTTAGACAGTGGCTTTGGCCTGAGACGTCTTAGCCAAAGCCTTCAGGTCTGAGATGCATTTAGTGATGCTCTCTTTCTCCTGGAGAAGACAAAGGAAAATGTAACATGTCAGTTAAAACAGAGACTTCATCTTAAAAAAATATTGGACATCAGTCAGTATTGAAGACTAAATAAAAAGGTACCTGTAGGTGGCACTGCAGTTTCTAATTCACCATAGAAGCTCTGGCTCACACTATGGTTTCCATAGACCACCAATAATTTAAATAAATTGTGTGAAATTTTAAATGTGTAAAAACCTAAAATGTTTTTTTTTCTATTCACCTTGAGAGCAGTGTTTCAGTAGGTTGGCTGAATTGTCTTCAATTTTCTACATAAAATACCTTCATTTTTTTAAATCATCATTTAACAGGAGAATGACTTGAATTTACGTGTGAAAGCTGCTTTAATTAAAGCATGTGTCAAATTTACTTCATCAAGGTCATTTAATTAGTGATGGACAATTTGGACATACTGTTTACTGTACCACTATATCTAATGTCAGATGTCAAGGTCAAACCAGCTTCTCCACGCCTTCAGGTATTAAAACTGACAGTTCAAAAGACTATGATGTGACTTTTAGGTGGATCAACTGAATCCCGA